AGTCCTGGTTTAGACCTGGTTTAGCTGGACCCTCTGGACCTGGACTGTGCCCAGAAACTCTGTCCATAAAAACAATGAGCAGAAGAGGTGACAGGTGCGGCCCTGTCGGAAAAGCTTCGTGTGAAAAATGTTTTTTTAACGACTTTTTCTTTGATGATTTTTTAATGTTTTTGTTTTTCTCCAATTTCCTCCTCGGCCCTTATCACAGACCCACAGACCAAGACCAGACCAAGACCAGGACCAAGACCAAGACCAAGACCAAGACCAAGACCAAGACCAAGACCAAGACCAAGACCAGGTCCAGACCAAGACCAAGACCAGGTCCAGACCAAGACCAAGACCAAGACCAAGACCAAGACCAAGACCAAGACCAAGACCAGTCCAGACCAAGACCAAGACCAAGACCAAGACCAAGACCAAGACCAAGACCAAGACCAAGACCAAGACCAGACCAGACCAGACCAAGACCAAGACCAAGACCAGGTCCAGACCAGGACCAAGACCAGGACCAGACCAAGACCAAGACCAAGACCAAGACCAGACCAAGACCAGGAGACCAAGACCAAGACCAGACCAGGTCCAGACCAAGACCAAGACCAAGACCAGACCAAGACCAGACCAAGACCAAGACCAGGACCAAGACCAAGACCAAGACCAGACCAAGACCAAGACCAAGACCAAGACCAAGACCAGAGACCAAGACCAGACCAGAGACCAAGACCAAGACCAAGACCAAGACCAAGACCAAGACCAAGACCAAGACCAAGACCAGACCAAGACCAGACCAAGACCAGACCAAGACCAAGACCAGACCAAGACCAAGACCAAGACCAGACCAAGACCAAGACCAGACCAAGACCAAGACCAGACCAAGACCAGGACCAAGACCAGGTCCAGGACCAAGACCAGACCAAGACCAGGTCCAGGACCAGGACCAAGACCAGACCAAGACCAGGACCAGACCAGACCAGACCAAGACCAAGACCAAGACCAAGACCAAGACCAGACCAAGACCAAGACCAAGACCAAGACCAAGACCAGGACCAAGACCAGAGACCAAGACCAGGACCAAGACCAGGACCAGACCAAGACCAGACCGAGACCAAGACCAGGTCCAGACCAGGTCCAAGACAAAGACCAGACCGAGACCAAGACCAGACCGAGACCAAGACCAAGACCAAAACCAAGACCAAGATCAGGACCAGGACCAAGATCAGACCAAGACCAGGACCAAGACCAAGACCAGACCAAGACCAGACCAAGACCACGACCAGGTCCAAGACCAGGTCCAAGACCAGGACCAGACCAGGACCAGACCAAGACCAGACCAGGTCCAGACCAGGACCAGACCAGGACTAGACCAAGACCAGACCAGGTCCAGACCAGGACCAGACCAGGACCAGACCAGGACCAGACCAGGACCAGGACCAGGACCAGGACTAGACCAAGACCAGACCAGGACCAGACCAGGACCAGACCGGGTTTAGTCTTGGTGTTTCTTCAGTGTATGAGTTTTGTGTGTAGTACAGATGCAGTACTGCAGTACTGTAGTAGTATAAGTTTTGTGGAGTCTTGCAGTAGTAGTACTGCAGTACTGCAGTACTCTTGTAGTATAAGTTTTGTGGGGTCTTGCAGTAGTAGTACTGCAGTACTCTTGTAGTATAAGTTTTGTGGGGTCTTGCAGTAGTAGTACTGCAGTACTGCAGTACTCTTGTAGTATAAGTTTTGTGGGGTCTTGACGCGCGGCAGGATTTGCACACGCGGCACTTTTCCGCTCCACTTTGACGTCTTTATTTGGGACGCGCTGATTCTGCAGAACGTCAAAGTGACGCGCCGCAAATGAGCGAAACGGACCGACGCAGCACAACGCGGCGGCGGAGCGGCAAGAGGCGGCGGGAGGCGGCGGGAGCGGCACAGGCGGCGGGAGGCGGCGGGAGCGGCACAGGCGGCAAGAGGCGGCGGGAGGCGGCGGGAGCGGCACAGGCGGCGGGAGCGGCACAGGCGGCGGGAGGCGGCGAGAGCGCGTCACAGATCAGAGGAGCGATTTACTCCAGTTTGATCCAAAACAAAACTCTGACAGAACCAGGACTAAACCAGAACTAAACCAGAACTAAACCAGAACTAAACCAGAACTAAACCAGACTAAACCAGAACTAAACCAGAACTAAACCAGAACTAAACCAGGACTTAACCAGAACTAAACCAGGACTAAACCAGAACTAAACCAGGACTAAACCAGAACTAAACCAGAACTAAACCAGGACTAAACCAGAACTAAACCAGGACTAAACCAGGACTAAACCAGGACTAAACCAGGACTAAACCAGAACTAAACCAGGACTAAACCAGGACTAAACCAGGACTAAACCAGGACTAGGTCTGGGTCTGCAGTGAGATCATGTCGTCCTCAGAGATGTTTCGTATAAATGCTTTTTTCCTCAGAGAAAAATGAATAAAATATGACACAACTACACACACACACACAGACACACACACACACACACACACACACACACACACACAGACACACACACACACACACACACACACACACACACACACAGACACACACACACACACACAGACACACACACACACACACACACACACACACACACACAGACACACACACACACACACACACACACACAGACACACACACACACACACAGACACACACACACACACACACACACACACACACACACACACACACACACACACAGACACACACACACACACACACACAGACACACACACACAGACACACACACAGACACACAGACACACACACACAGACACACACACACACAGACACACACACACACACACACACACACACAGACACACACACACACACAGACACACACACACACACACAGACACACACACAGACACACACACACAGACACACACACAGACACACACACACACAGACACACACACACAGACACAGACACACAGACACACACACACACACACACACACACAGACACACACACACACACACACAGACACACACACAGACACACACACAGACACACACACAGACACACAGACACACACACACACACACAGACACACAGACACACACACACACACACACACACACAGACACACACACACAGACACACACAGACACACACACAGACACACACACACAGACACACACACACAGACACACACAGACACACACACACAGACACACACACACACAGACACACACACACAGACACACACACACACAGACACACACACAGACACACACACACACACACAGACACACACACACACACACACACACACACACACACACAGACACACACACACACACACACAGACACACACACACACACACACACACACACACACACACACACACACACAGACACACACAGACACACACAGACACACACACACACACACACAGACACACACACACACACACACACACACACACACACACACACACACACACACACACACACACAGACACACACACACACACACACACACACACACACACACACACACACACACACACACACACACACACACACACAGACACACACACACACACACACACGATAAATAAATAAAAAACCCAACAGACCAGTTACTTTTAGGACTAAACCAGGACTCTGTTGTGTTGTTTTTGTGTTGTTGTTGTGTAGTAGTTGTGTTGTGTTGTTGTGTAGTAGTTGTGTTGTGTAGTAGTTGTGTTGTGTTGTTGTGTAGTAGTTGTGTTGTGTAGTAGTTGTGTTGTGTTGTTGTGTAGTAGTTGTGTTGTGTAGTAGTTGTGTTGTGTTGTTGTTGTGCGTCTGAGGCTTTTATTTTGAATAATTCATTTTTAACAAATCTGGAACAAACTCATTTTTAATTCAGAGACACAAACATCAGCAACTCACACGACGCACACACACACACACACACACACACACACACAACACACACACACACACAACACACACATCTCACAACACACACATACCACACAACACACACCATACAACACACACACCTCACAACACACACACACCCCACAACACACACACATCTCACAACACACACACACCACACAACACACGCACACACACACTCAACACACACACACACACAGCACACACACATCTCACAACACACACACATCTCACAACACACACACACCACACAACACACACACCATACAACACACACACCTCACAACACACACACACCTCACAACACACACACACCACACAACACACACACACACCATACAACACACACACCTCACAACACACACACACCTCACAACACACACACATCTCACAACACACACACACACACACAACACACAACACACGCACACACACACACAACACACACACACCTCACAACGCACACGACGCACACACACACACAACACACACACATCTCACAACACACACTTCACAAACACTCCGTCTCACACGCTGAACTTTATATACTTTATATAATATTTTATATATACTTTATAAACACTGTGGTGGTGTAGTTCGCTCGTCGTTGGGCTCGTGTTTTCTTTGGTGTTGGAGCGCCCCCCGGCGGCTCCGTCCGTCACTACACAAACTCCAACTATTTTATGTGACGCGTTTTCTTCTAAACATAAACAACAGACAATTATTTTTATAACAACAACAACAACAACAATAATAATAATAATAAATAGATAGATGCTGTTTTGATGAAATATCATTTATTTATTTGTCATATTTATTTTGTGTTTGAAGAGAATTGATTTATTTTTAATGTTACGACGCCCCCTAGCGTCGTATTATGTTTACACTTCTCCTCTTCCAGAGTTTGTCCGTTTCTGTTACAATAAATATATATTTTTAAAAAAAACCTTCTCCATTTTACTTTGAAAATATCCGCACGCGCTCTGAGTCTGGTTTTGTACAAAAATAAATATTAATAATGATAAAAATAAAAACTTGTCAGTCCCGGAATCTTTGTCCTGCGCTGTTCCCGCACGGCCCGTCACTGATGCAGGACACGAACATGGCGGCTGGGCTCGCGCTCGTGTCCTCGCGGTTCCGCGGGCTCCTGTGCGTGCGCGTGCCGGTCGCGCGTGCGCTCGTCCCGGGTCTCGGTTCGGTCCAGACTCGGACCTTCGCCCTGGACCCGAACCAGAACCCGGACCCGGACCAGAACCTGAGCCAGAACCCCTTTTACTCCAAGTATCGCGAGAAGATCCGCGAGCTGCGCAGGTGAGCGGCAGGTCTCGCGAGACTCTGACATGTAAACATTAGCATGTCACTTGTTCATGTCTTAGATGTTCTACTTGTTAAACTGGATGTTGTAGATCAGGAGTCTCCGTCCGGAGTCTCAGGAGGCACCAGTAGATCTTCAGTAGTTCTTCAGTTAATCTTGAGTAAATCTTCAGTAGTTCTTCAGTAGATCTTCAGTAG